TTAAAATGCCACAAAATCAATTCTTTTTTTGCTTGTCTAATGACATGGAAAAAAAAAAAAACACAGTTGGCCATCTTTTTTTATGAGGTGGCATTTTTATTTAATTTAAAATTTTTGATATCTTTTTTTTCCATCCACGTCATCTCTTCTTCCTCTTTCACTTTCTCTCTCTTTTACCTTTCCTTTTCCCTTGCCTCTGTAAACCCAGATCTGGGTTCTCTCGCAAACTTCATCTTCTTCCTCCTTTCCTTTCCTTGCTCATCCTTCTTCCTTCTTCCTTCTTCTTCTTATTCTTTCTCTCTCTCTCTCTCTTCTCCTTTCTTCTTCCTCTTTCAAACCCAGATCTGGGTTTGAGACAAACCCAAATCTGGGTTTCATCACATAACATGGAAACTAATCTCAAATATACTAAACAGCAAAGCCAAGATCTCCTAAGCCAACTAATAGAAAGGAACATAGATTAAAAAGAGTAAAGAATTTCTAGAAAAAAAGCAATTCGATCCAAATCACATACAAGCCAAAGCCAACTGCAGATCTAATCTCGAAAATAATCAACACGAAAACCACTTAATCAACTCAGAAAATACACATAGAAAACACAAAATAAGCAAAAGAACAAAACCAAATCTATACCCTCATTTTCTTCACCTTCACCTTGATCACTCGTGCCCTGTTCAAACCCAAATCTGGGTTTGTTTTGGAGAGGAAGAAAAACCCAGATCTAGCCATCCAAATTCAATAAGAAAAACCCTCAAGTCTAACACCTCAATCCCAACCCCTTCCTTCGCAAACTTCCTCGCGCTTCACGCTCTCCTTCATCCCCTGTGTTCCCGTCAACAACTCTATCAAAATAACTCCAAAACAATACACATCAAATTCGATGCCACTTTGGTTATTTCCTTCATCATCTCTTCCCTTTCTGCGCCTGATGTTTCCAATCTTGACGTCGGCGATGCATGGGTCGAGATTATCAAATAGAAGGATGTTGGACAACACCGATGACCGTGGGTGGTGCCGATGTGATGTAGGTAATTTATGTGTGAAAATCAGATTTGAGTTTGAGAAAAACCCAGATCTGGGTTTGAGAGAAGATCTGGATTTTGGATGGCCACAAAAGGCACACCAGGATCGCTTCACTCATGCTCTCTGCTTGCTGAGTGAACCATTCATTGGTGCCGAGGAAGAAGCTTGGGAAAGAAGAAGGGGCGAATGGATGAGAGACATGAAGGGAGGAAGAAGAAGATGAATAATCTAATATTAAATTATGTGGGTTTTTATTTAAATAAGAAAAAATTGCCACATGGAAAAAGAAAAATGCCATCTCATTAAGTTTATTTTCCATGTAATTATTATTATTTTTTAAATGTGATTTTGTGGCAGATAACGTGCCACCTGTCATTTAACTGACGGAAGGACAGTTTTGGTACCCAAAATGAAAGTTTAAGGATAATTTTGGTACTTTTTAAAGGTGAGGGACAATTTTGGTGTCAAAGTGAAAAGTTGAGGGACCAAAATGGTACTTAAACCTTTAATTTTTCCTTCCCATCCACTGTAGCCCCGATACCCTCATTCCCCGCATATATTGCCCCTAAATCTCTGCTCTTCTTTTTTTTGTTTTTCCTCTTATTGCTGAAGCAAACAATTACTAGTCAAAAACCCACTAACACACCCTCCTGCAACCCGTTGCTCGCCAATTCTCATTGCTACTGGCCCAACTATGTCCACACCCTCCAGCCCAATTAAATCTTCCCCCTCTGGCCCAACTAAGTCTGCCCCATCCAGCCCACACATCTCCATCCCATTTATTTCAAAATTTTCAAAAGACTCTCCTTCCATTGCAGCTTCCGTTATAGCTTGAAAATCGTCTTTCATGGCTTCATCCTCACCGCAAAATCCGGTAGCAATTAAGCCAGATTCGCTGCCATCATCACTCGAATATTCTGAGTTTGATTCAGAAGTCGGATTCCGTCGCTCGCCGGCCAGCCACCAGTTGGGATCCATCCTTCACTCCTCCTCTGCCACTTCAATCGGATAAGCTTCACTACCGACCTTTAAGAGTATTGTTGCTGATATTTTGATCCTTGTTTCACACAGAATTAGAACCCGTCCTTCACACAAAAATGATTTGCTCTTCATGTCTTCATCCACGAGTAAGACCTCGCCTATTAGTCCCCCTAGCTCGGCAAAGCATCTCTCACTCCATGAATGTAAAAGGACACTGGAAAATCGCAGCCAAGCCAAATGACTTGCTGATGAAACCGTGGATAAGGATGTTGGTTACACCCATTCGAACCATAACTCTGTTAGCTCCTTATTATTTTCTATGAACTCCACAAGACATCCTTCTGAATTATCTACCAAAATGATCTATCTACCTCCTAACAGTGCAACATTCACCATTAAACCATCAACATCCATCCTATGTTGAATTTGTCTCACCATATCTAGAGATCGGACCACAGCCACCATACTCCTATTCAACCATGTCACTTCTCATCACTAGGCAAGAATTCTAAAACCAAATCACCGTGTATAGGAGACGTTGCCCCAGCTACCCCTTCTGTTATCAATGGCATAGACAGTTTCTCTAGGGTTTTTTCAGGTATCACTGCAGAAACCTTCATCGAGAAGCCCTCCAATGCAATCATGTCCGTTGTTTCCTCCATCTCTCTCGTTGCCATCAATTGTTTGTCCCCCTTGTTCAAGGACAAACCTTCCGCAATTGCACCCGGACTAGCAGCAACAGCCTGTGCATAAGACCTCCCAGGTTTCACCTTCGCATCCCTTCTAACCCATTGTTTCTCTTCCCTTCTATTTTGAGCCTCCCTAAACTTAACCTTCCCTCTTTTCATATTCTCTACCACCTTCACTTTAAGACGATAGGAGTCCAGCCAAATATGGTTTAGTCTCCTCTCCATGTCTTTGACATCAAAGGCACCCGACATACGAGCAAACCCAAACCGACGACCTCTTCGATCACGCCTTGTGGGAATGTACACATCCACCACCTTCCCATATGACCAAAAACAGAACCACAGATCCTTCACTGAACGATCCTTTGGGAAATCATAGAAGAAAAACGTTGTAGCCTGCTTTAGGAACCCCTTGCCGAACCCTGGAAGCCGCCTCCGAGCCCCACTGTCCTTGGCTGTCGAGAACCTTGCTCTAACCCTAGCATTCTCTCTCTCTCTCATCCTCCTCTCTCTCTCCTAGTCTTATTTCTCATATTAAGACAACAACGTTCCCAATTGAGCAACAATATGACCTAGGTTTATGGTCAACTTCATACTAGGATCATATGGAGTAGGGGCTTCCTTTATATTAAGATGTTGGAATTTATTCAACTTCTTCTCTATATAATGTGATTGACTAAGTACAAAGCCATGATCATGTCTCTTTACTTTGATACCTAAAATAGTATCTACTCCATTTAAATCTTTCATTTTGAAGATTGAAGTTAGATACTTTTTGGTTTCATTTATTCCTAACATGTTGGTACCAAATATCAACATGTCATCAACATAGAGACATATTATAACTCCATAATCCTTAGTGAACTTTGAATAGATACACTTATCTGCATCATTATGCTTGAATCCATTTGCCAGGATATGTGTATCAAATTTCTAGTGCCATTGCTTTGGAGCTTGCTTTAGGCCATATAGTGACTTAACTAATTTACAAACTTTTCTTTCATTCCCAGGAAGTATGAAGCCTTCTGGTTGTTCCATGTATACATCCTCACTTAAGTCACCATTCAAGAATGTTGTTTTAACATCCATTTGATGCATAAACAGCTTATAAATCGAAGCCAATGCAAAGAGAACTCTTATAGATGTTATTCTTGCAACAGGAGCATATGTGTCAAAAGAATCTATTCCTTCCTTTTGAGTAAAACTTTTTGCAACCAACCTTGCTTTGAAGGTTTGTATTGTTCCATCTGTATTGTATTTTCATCTAAATACCCATTTACAACCAATTGGTTTAGAACCATATAAAAGATACACTAAAATCCAAGTATTATTGGACATAATAGAGTCCATCTCATCATTCACAGCTTCTCTCCAAAAAGTTGCATCCCTTGAAGCCATTGCTTCTTGAAATGTTTTTGGATCTTCTTCAACATTTAATACCATAGGTATTTTTCGAATTATTTCCATTCTAGTTGCTTCAATTAGGAAGACAATAGACTGAGAAGAAATAAAATCAAGATCAAGAGACTTTTCTCTCCTAATCCTTGTACTTCTTCTTGGTTTAATTGAACCATCATTCTCTTTTCTTTTCTCCTCATGAAGTGTACTTGTACTTGTACTATTATGATTTTCATGCATTGAATTATTCAAAGAATTTCCAAAATCAAGTATGGTAAAAGAATCTTTAATAAAATTATCTTCAAAGAACTCAACATGTATAGATTCTACTATAACATTTGACTCTAAATCTAGTAACCTATAGGCCTTAGAATTAATTGCATAACCAACAAATGCACTTCTAAATGCCTCTAGGTCCTAATTTTGTTCTTAATGGATCTGGAACCTTATAAAAGGCAAGACACCCCCACACTTTGAGGTAATTCAAATTTGGCTTTTTACTATTATTCCAAGTCTCATATGGAGAAACATGAGTTTCCTTTGATGGAATTCTATTGATAACATGATTGGCAATAAGAAGTGCCTCTCCCCAAAGATTAAATGGCAACTTCAAATTTATCAACATGCAATTAACCATGTCAACCAAAATTCTATTATTTCTTTTTGCCAAACCATTCTGTTGGGGTGAATAGGGGGCTGTTCTTTGATGTATGATGCCATGTTCTTCACAAAATTGTGAAAACATATATGAAAAATACTCACCACCCCTATCACTACGAAGAGCTTTAATTCTCTTTTCTTTTTGATTTTCCACAATAGATTTATACTCTTTAAACTTGTCAAAAGCATCATCTTTTGTTCTCATAAGATACATATATGTATATCTAGAACAATCATCAATAAATGTTATGAAGTATCTTTTACCTCCTCTAGTAAGATGACTATTTAATTCACAAATATCAAAATGCACTAACTTTAACATTTATGTATTTCTTTCTCTTTTTGGAAAAGGTTTTCTAGTCATCTTTCCTTGCACACAAATTTCACATTTATTTTTAAAATCATTTTGACAAGTTAAATATCCATGCTTAGACATATATTTTAATGATTCGTAATTCATATGTCCTAGTCTAGCATGCCATAAAGTAGAAGAACACTCAACAATATAAGCAAAAACATTATTTATTTCATTAATACTCAATTTGAACATTCCATCACAAGAATAACCTTTCCCCACAAAGTTGCCATTTTTTGATATAATGGCCTTGTCTGATTCTAAGACAACCCTCAAGTGCCTTTTACATAACATATTTCCGAACACCAAGTTCTTTCCAATATCAGGCACATGGAAAACATTAACCAAGGTCAATTTGTGGCCCAAAGTGAACTTTAATTCCATTGTGCCTTTGCCTAGAACTTTTGCAGTGACATTGTTTCCCATAAGCACTTCCTCTGGTTCCTTCAAATCTTCATAAAACTTGAATTGTGCTTTGTTATTGCACACATAAACTATTGCACCAGAATCCAACCACCAAGACTTGGTTGGATTTGCCATGTTCAATTCAGTGACCATCTTGACTTGCATATCAAAAACAATAGCAACCAATTCATGCTTAATCAAATTTGCCTTGTTGCTTGTTTCTACACTAGTGCCAAAACCAAAGTTCCTTACATTATTCCTAAATTTGCAATCTTTAATGAAGTGACCTTTCTTACCACAATGATAACAAGGCTGACTTTTCTTAAAAGAAGCTTTCTTGAGAGCACTATTTTTCTTAAGAGGCTTAAGTTTATTCTGGAAAGGCTTGGCAGAATTTTGACTCACATAATTAAATTTCGAGGGTGCCAATATTGCATCTCTTGAATGATTTTCTGCCTCAATCTGGAGATGTGTTTGAAACTGTTCCATCGTCAGAATTTCATCTGAATGCAAAACCTTTTTCTTGTAATCATTCCAAGATGGAGGAAGTTTTGAAAGTATTGCCCCCACTTGAAGTGAATCTAGAATCTTTATCTCCAACTTTGACATTCTTGATACCAGAATTTGTAATTCATGCACTTGATCCATGATGGAAATATCATCTTTCATTTCAAACTCAAAATATTTAAGTGTAAGAAACTTGTCCGTACCTTTCTTTTCATGATTATATTTCTTTTCTAGAGCAATCCAGATTTCTTGAGAAGAAGACATGTTGCGATATAGATCATAAAGTCTATCAATGAGAGAATTCAGAATGTGCCCATGACATATGAGTTCATCTTCTTCAAGCTTCAATCTTGCATTCTTCACTCCTTCAGAATCGTTTTCCTTCGATGCTTAGATAGGTTGTAGTTTTGGATCAAGAACGTCTGACACTTTTAGTGTTGTTAGTAGGAAAGTCATCTTATCCTTCCAACACATGTAGTTGGTGCCATCGAACATGTCCAATCTGAATACATCTGGATTCAGCAACTTGATGTTGGCATTTATAGGAAAAGCCATAAGGAATTTTAAATCCCTAAGATTGTTAGAAAATATGAAATAGTAAAAGAATAAAAGAATTATTCTAAGACATGATCTCACTTTCCTTAAGGATTTAAAATCCTTCATGATACAACAGAACACAAAACTCTTTCAAAATTAGATGTAGAACTCTGACTTTGCATAGGAATTTATAATGCCTGAAAAGTCAATATTTGTAGGGATGTATCCCTCCAGAAAAACACCATTTCATAGAGGTGCCTTTTGAATGCCAATAGTTATGTCTGATTTTCAGACATATCTCTCCAGATTTTAATTTAATAAAATAAAAAAATCCAAAAATAATAAAAAAATTAATAATATTTTGGCAGTCAAGCCCTAAGGTGCCTCAAGTGTAGATAAAAATCCAGGACAAAACAATGCAAGATAGAAACAGGATTCCACAATTGCATCCATCCAGAAAAGAGAAGGCCAAAGCAACATTCTTTTCTTCTCCCATTTAGGACAAAAAATAATAATAATAATAAGTGTACAATTCAATATTTTGACAGAATTGCCAAAAGGAGATAGTTTCTTATAATACTAGTACGTTAAAGAAGTTGTTAAAATGTGGGTACGTTGTGAAGATTATAATTCAACTAATTGTTTGTCAACAATCTTTGCATGTTCTAGGTTAAATCTATTTTCCCATCCTTCAATTGTTAATTTACTGGGAAATGATATGAAGACAACTATTTTGTCCCATGGATTTATACAACCTCGATGTGGGAAGCTGACTTGATATATACATCAGATTATTATTATTTAAATAAGAAACGATGCTATGGCTATACAACTTTTGATATCATCTTTTGATATAATTTTTACATGTTATTAAATGAGTGGATGTAGTTAATATGATGGATCCCACATGAATAAAAAGAGCCAATCATTTAAATAACATGTCAAATTGTACCAAAAAAATGATTAAAAAAATTATCACAAAATCATATTTCTTAAATAAAAAAAGGGAACACCGCTTCGCTCCCTACTTCCCTTAGTCTCCAGCCAAAAAATACTCATTTGTTGGTGCTGCATCTTTCGGTCCCTGCTTTCAGTCCAATTCAATCCTTCCTTCTTCGATCAAAACAAAATGCCTAAGTATCAATCTTTTAACTATATATAAAAGGACAAGACTCAATTTACCTTGAACTTCACTTTACTTAATTATTTATTGATAAAGAATAAATTTTTATAAACTCTTTTAAGTTCTCATATTTTCTTAACGTGAGATTTTAAATATTTACAAACTATTCAACACCTTATCCCTCAAACAAGCACCCATTAAAATTGCAAAACTGGCAATAAAGTTATGTTGAACAAAAAGATACCAGCTTCCTTATGGTAGATGGGAAGTAGCCACAGCGGGGAAGAACTCATATATGTTTAGTGGTTGAAAGATAAATTGTTACATTATTTTCTTAGCTAGCATGTATAATGGACTGATCTTTCAGAGAAAAATAGCCCATCATGTTAGTAAGAAAAAAGCCATAAATAAAACAAGTGCCAACGTCATGAGTCCTGTGGATACCCAAATGATTGTTCTTAGACTTTGATTTGAGCGAGAGAGTTTAGCATTTTTTGTGGACAGCATCAACAGGACCAAAGCAGAGAACAAAGAGGCAAACATTGAGAGAATTCCTGATTTCAAGATGAAGTTGCTTGTCAAGGAAGAGTGGCCTTTTGGAACTTCGGAAAGAAAGCTGACAATCGCAGTTGTAGATACTGAGATAACAAGGCATGCAACTTTTACCCCATTTTTCGCATTCTCTAGTGGACCTTTAGTTTGCAGAATCATTCGTTGCAAAGCCAATCTTGGCACCATTTCCATTTCCTGCTCCACTGGCATTTGATCATCAGCCTTCCCTATCTGAAATTGTACCGTAAAAGAAATAACGCACTTTCCATGTTCATTGAGAAAAAAGAAAACCACATATACTTGTAATATTTGTGCTTGATCGGGATATAATAAAACAAGAAAACTATCTCCTTTTTTTTTTTTTTCAATTGGCATGGGAAAATTTATGATGTCCTTAAAACTCTATTCTCTACTGCAAGCATGATTTGTATCCACATCTTTGATATAAAACCATCAAAGGACACTTTATCAACTCAAGAGATACCTCTGTTTAAGTGATGTGCCTTCTTCCCTCCATATATCGTATCAAACATTTTTCAAACAATGATATCCAGATGGCTGAAGTCCTCACTAGTTAAGATTGATATACGTTCTTAGCCTTTTGTGGGGATTTAGCAGTGGATCATATTTATATGCACCACTTTTTTATTTTGTTACTACCGCAGGTAAATCATGGATTGCTTACATCGAGAGAAATTCCAATGATCTTATTAATTAGATAAGATGTAAGGGAAGGAAAATTCTGCACCTCTTCTGCTACTTGTACTTGAAGGCTACGTAGGCACTCTGCTGGCAAATTTGGTGTATTGTGGATCTCTGAAATTTCAGTTTGACATGAAGGCTGATGTTCACCAAGGTTTGAACTAGATACTTTAGTTTCTTTCCCCTTTTCCGCGTCCTGCATCTCTGTCTTCTGTAAGTTACCGAAGTACATAAATATTAATATATACACACACACATATATATACACACGTTAAAAGCAAGAAGGAACATATATAAATGATTCACTACTACCTCATCTGCCCGGTAATCTCTTTGCTGTTCAAGTGTCAATTAATTTTTTACTGTTTACTCATGTAGAACCCAATGCTTTTAATGAAATGAAGGTTAATTTTACATTCAAACTATTGCAATGTCTGCTGGCCCAAGAAAAGTCATGTGTATGTAGCAATAGCGTACATGATGGTTATAATGCTTAATTTGGATGCAAATGCAATATATGCTAGAACCACCTTTCAAAGCTAAGAAATGCAAGAGGACAGGAAAGGAGCAGAAATTGAGAAATATTTAAAAAAAAAAAAAAAATTGAAACAGAGAAACCATGGGATGATGAATACTTAATTCATAGTAGCTTACGGAGTAGCACAGAATGATGAGAAGCAAGAAACAGATCTTGTAACCGGAGAGCTTCATATAATAATACTTGTAAATTTCTACATGAATGAGAGGAAGCAACCTAATTATACTGCCCTATATAGCCATTGAGAGGCTACTATTTCTTTCCTCTTTTTTTCTTTTTATCGGTGCCACTGTTTCTCTCTTAAAATGTATATTTATCTTTAGTCGTTACCTCTCCTGGAAATTCCAGCAAAAGTAAGCTTGTTTTGCTTTACAGTAGTGGTGTGATGAGGGTGGATAGGGTCCAAGACAATGGGGAAAAAGAAAAACATATGCAACACCAAATTTAAATATTTTTATTTCCACAATATTATAATTAAAATATTACAATTATGTTATAAGTTTATAATAATATTTAATAAATATAATATAATTTTAAATAAACAAATTCACATAATATTATGATTAAATTTTAAATAAAAATAATTAATTATATAACAATATATTATATTTTTTATGTTTTAAAATAATAATTATTTTTTTAATTTTTTAAATTAAAAATTTGAAAAAACTAACTTTATTTATTTATAATATTTTTAAA